GGGGGGGAACCCCAGGGGGTGGGAGAACCCCAGGGGGGTGGGAGAACCCCAGGGGGTGGGAGAACCCTGAGGGGGGGAACCCCAGGGGGCGGGGGGGAGAGCCCCAGGGGGGCGAGACCAAGCGAGCGCGCCCTACGCCTGCCCGCGAGTCTGTTGCCCTGGACCCAACTGCTCCCTGGACACGCGACTCGGTGGGGCAGTGGCCAGGAGGCGCCCAGCAGACACGGAGGAGGGGGGGCCCCGCTCTGGGCCGGCACCCATGCCAGCGGTGGCCACTCGCCCGCGGGGGTCACCACGGGCCCTCGGGTGCTGTTTGGGGTTCGCTCCTGCGGGGGCGGGTCCGGTGCGGGGGGGGGGGCGTGGGTGTGTGGGGGGCAGGGTGGAGCCGAGGACAACGCCCGTCGGCCGTGACGGCGGGCAGGTGGCAGGGGAGGGCGCCAGGCCCGGGCGTCGGGGTTCGGCAGTGACCGTGGCCCCTCAGGCCGACCCCATGCGGTGGCCTCCGGCTGTCCCCCCATCATGGGGGAGGTCTGGGGGCGCCACGGTTAAGAGGCGTGAGCAGGGCGCCTCACTTCAGAGAAACCTGCGCGCGTCGCCTGGGCAGCTGAGGGGGCCGCAGGCGCCAGAGGGCGAGGGACGGGGCGGCCACCGTGGGCAGACCTGTGCGGGCCGCGCCCGCCCGTGTCCACACCGTGTGGACAGCCACACACACACCCCACGCCCTGGGCACACACGTGGGCTGCTGCGGGGGCCAGTGTGAGCTCCGGCCCCGCCCCCCCCCCGCTAGTCCCCACCCCCACCGGCGGCCACTGCAGCTCCCGCAGTGGCAGGGCCCGAGTGGCCGGAGTCGCGCCCCCCCCCCCAGCCCCCTGCTGCTGGGACCCGAGGCCAAGCAACACTCACACCCACGACTCATTTTAATGTCAAATGTTTATTTCTATGCCATAGTTGCCTCAGCACGATGTGTAAAAGAAAGGAATCCAAAAGACGGTTGTTTTGGTCAGGACATCGTCTCCGCAGTTGTAGGAAAGAAAAGAAACCCCCGGTGCCGGGACCGCCGCGTCTTCCGCCGCGCTCGACTGAGTCGCACCTGGATCGCTTCCGCGCATGTCCACTCGTCTGGGGGCACGAGATCCCCTCAGACACTTTCGGGAAAACGTTTGCACGCGTGAAGATGCACCTGGCAGGGTCTTCGCCCGAGGCGGGCCGCGCGGCGCCTCAGCAGACTCAGTGACCGGAGAGCGCGTTAGGTTCATGCACGTTTTATTGAGTAGTAACGTAAAATGCTTTTCTTTGTCATTGCCACAGTGCATGCGAAGATGGCCAACATCTCAGGTCAAATCACAAAGGCAGGGCCGGAGGCCGCAGCGACCGCTCGGGCACTTACACAATCGGTAAAAAATACGGACGGGCTCGCGGCCGCCGCTGTCCCGGACGGGCCGCGGGCACCCGAGGCTGAGGTCCGAGGCAGGCCGGGGCGGGGGACGGGCCCGGTGGCACGTGACAGGACGGGACGGCGGGGCGGGCCGCTGGCGCTACGCTACCATGCATCGCGTTTCCGCGGGACTAGGACTCAGTGGGGCTGCACGGGGCTCGCTAGGCATGCTGCCACCCAGGTGCCACGGACAAGCGTATGTGAAAAACGTTAAGAATACTCTCCCCTGTAGGTTGTTTTCCAAAGCTTTTTGATTACAAAATTGGAAAGGCATGAAGCATCGTCGAGTATAAAGTACGTCAGTTACGGACATTCCCAGGACAGGCCAGACCACTAAGCGCATCACAACCCCGCGGGCGGGACAGCCGTCGTGTCTCAGAAACATGCATAGGCAGAGTTTCGTTTTTGTTTTTGTTTTTTTACAGAATATAGATGCTTTATCACTGTACTGAATAGGGTGTCTTGTTCACTAGACTTAGAAATGCACCACTCATAAATATTGAATTCAGCAAGCCACAACCAAGACTTGATTTAACAAAAACCCCTAAATATAAACAGCAAAAAAAGAGAAAGGTCATGATTCCAGTTTGTCTTTGAACTCAGAGGGAAGAAAGGAGGAGTCGCCGCCCGATGCCTCGGGCGCATGACGGGGAGAAGGCGCCCAAGCACACGAGAACCTGAGGTAAGCGTATCTGTACAAAAGGAGATGGTCCTTTTTGGCGTGTGAACAAATTTGCGACATTCTTTTTTTTCTTTTTCTGGTTTTTTTTGTTTTTTTTTAAGACTGCCTAATTCGTTGTCTAGCCGTTGTCTGACGGGGTAGCAAAACATCATCAATAAATAGTCCTTATTTAGTTTGTACATCGTCGTGGTAAAAATGGGGGTGTCATCCGTGTTAGTGCTGCGACTGTAAACGTACAACAGAGTAAGAAGGGGACCAAGTCCGGTGTCGGGGCGCGACGCGCCAGGCGCGCGGCCCCCGCGCCCGCTCTCTGACGCGCGTTCTCCCTAGAAGCGTTTGGAAGGCGCTCGGGGGGCCG